TTGCTCTGCAATTATGTTTACAGTTTGGATGGAGCAGCCAAGCCAACGAGTGAATACTCACGTCCATCAGAAGTTCTCACATACTCCGACCGATACTCCTTGCCCGACGGTGACGTGAAAGCATGACTGAGGTAGATTGTTGGTGATTCGACCAAAGTAGCATACAGCGTGACCTAGATTTCTAGTTTGAGCGATGCCCCCAAAATCAAAAAAGAAGACTTACATTTGCCGGGATGAATCGTGCCATGTTTGTAGCTAGCCTTAGATGAGCATCAAGAAACGTGGGGATTACTCCCTCGCCAAAGGCACAACAATCAAGAATTTCTGACACAACTATGTCCGCCTAAAAACCATGATGAACCATCTGACTATGACTCAAGAAAGAACCACACATCATATGATAAGCAATATGAAAGTGCACACAATTTGAACGAATATGGGACGCAGAAAAGATCCAGAATCTGCTAATGTGGACGAAACGATAGCGAAATGTGGGAATTCGATTGCAAAAATAGTCAGATAAAAAAGATATCAAAAGGTCAAAATATAATAGTCATTAAGAGATTCCAAGGATACTTATAAAATATAGAAAACTCATCCAATTTAGATAAAACCACAGAAAGACTGTTGGTCATAAAAGTGAAGAAGGGACTGACCAGATCTCCATCCTCTGGACGATAGTTGAACGAATAATCGCGTATAACCTTCGCCCCATCAACTCCATTCAAGCTCAGAACTCTCTTTGCCAGACTACAAAGTGAGACGTTCGATTCAATAGCACAGATCTTCGATGCGCCACAGCTGAATGTAACTATATTGGAACTTGGATCATGCTCCAAAGCACAGCGCGCAGAAGGCATAAGAAATCCAACTAGCATTCAGGATATGTCTTTCATCATGCTAATTTGAAAAATAACTAGTACGAAAGATAAAGATTGTTGCTTTCACAGGTTCAGGTGCCCTAACATCTATGCCTCAGAATTTGAATATGTGTATTTATTCTTATTTATTGACGAAAAAACTCATCGAGCCCCAAACCGATGAATGTGGACAAAAAATGCGAAAAAAAGATGGTAACAAACCTAGCCGCGAACACGCTCATCAGTCCAGTCCCTGTTCCAATATCGAGCACATAATCGGTTGGCAGGATGGTATTTCTCAAAGCATCCAAAAACTTCTCATTCCTCTCCT